TCAAAAATATCTCCAGGTCAATATGCCTCTTGTCTAGATTAAGAACTTATGGGTTTGGCCCATTCCATTCCACTTTCAAAGGAGTCTTGTAGCTTACCCGGAATACTCCACGACCAGGCCTAGAGAGGTTGAAAGAACTCTGTGTGTGTGTGTGTGTAAGAAAGAGAGAAAACTTTTAAAATGTTATTTTCCCAGCTCTCCAACTTTAACATAATCATTACATTCCATATATGTGTTTACCGAAGAAGTGGCTCTTTACAACATTTCCTTCCTACACCCTTTCTCACTCTCCATCTCTTCCTTCTGTATAGGCAGAGGCGGCCCTAGATAATTTTCAGTGGTAAGCAAAAAGTATTTTCTGTTCATCGTGGGAGTTCTGTGTGCCATATTTGGTTCAATTCCATCATTGGTGGAGTTCAGAATGCTCTTTGATTGTAGGTGAACTATACATCTCAGTAACTACAACTTGCATATGTCAAGGTCTATTTTCCCCCAAGAGCGCCTCAAGAACGCCCCTGGGCAAAATCAACTATACTGCAAATGCTTACTTTGCGTAATGGGTTGAGCCGCCCCTGTGTATAGGTATCCTCCCTTCTTCTTATGCTATTTAAAGTTTGTTTCTTGCTAGTCTAAACACAAAACTGAATTCTCTTGAACCTTCTGTAAACATAGACTCACAAGCCAGAAGTCTCCCTTGAAACTGAGGACAATTCTATTTCCAACCCCGTCTTTTCCAATGGTTCCTGGCCACAGGTCGAAGTCTCGCCCAACTCTTGCATTGAAGTCCCCCAGGAGGATGATTTTGTCCTCCTTAGGTATCCCCGATAGGACGTTGTCCAGCTGACAGTAGAATTTCTCCTTGATGTCTTCGTCAGCATCTAGTGTTGGTGCATAGGCACTTATGATGGTTGCCCGTTGGTTTTTGGCAAGATCGATTCGGAGGGTTGAGAGTCATTCGTTGATGCCAGTGGGTGCTTCGGACAGATGTTTCATCAGATCATTTCTGATGGCGAAGCCAACTCCGTGCATTCTTTGGTCTTTTTCGGGCAGTCCCTTCCAGAAGAAGGTGTAGCCTCCTTTTTCTTCTTTCAGCTGTCCCTCTCCTGCTCTCCGGGTCTCCTGAAGGGCTGCTATGTCGATGTTGAAGCGTCCCAGCTCCCTTGCAATGATGGCAGTTCTGCGTTCGGGGCGTTCACTGCCACTGTTGTCCATCAGAGTCCGTACGTTCCACGTACCGAAGTTCATTTTCCTTTTTTGGCCGCAGGGTGGTGACCCCACTGGACGCGGCAGTCCAGTCAGGGATAAGTGAGGCAGACTATGTTTAGGGCACCTTTTCTAGCCCCCTCCCCATGTGGGGTGAGCAGAGTGGGTCCTCAAAAGGGCTGCTCAGTCGCGGATACAGCTGCCGAACTACTCAACTGCCTCGGTCCTTGAGGTAGAACGACTGAGTCCGTACCCACCGCCCATGTGCCAGTCTGTGACTAGGGGCTTCCAGATTTCACAGTCCTGCCCCCGTCGCCACTCGCTGATCGCCATGGGACTTTGGTTGCTTTGTTTTTATTTTCTTTGGAAGACGCCTGTGCGTGGTTTTTTTAATGTGTGGAGGTCAGTGCACAACTGATCAACACACAGACTTCACAGAGTGAGGTTCCACTGGTGATGTAGTTTAACACAATGACCGTGGCTTCTCAGGCTGTTGCAGCCTTCTTCCGCCTTCGCAGCCGTTGTAACATGTGCCATGTTATCCTCCGCCTGCTCCGCCGTTGAGGTCTTTGGGTCTTCGGACTGTGCTTGGTCTGGGACCTCCCCCGCAGCCACTCCTGGGAGTGCATGACTCCAGTTGTTGTGCCTACAGGTTCATCGGAACACGCAAGCCCCCTCACCACGACAAGGTGACAGTCCAACCCCGTCTTTTCCAGTCCGGAAAAGACGGGGTTGGAAACAGCAACTCAAATGGCATCCTGCTTCTCACCAAATGTGCGGAGCACAACCTTGTCATCACCAACACGCTCTTCCGCCAGAAAAACAAGTTCAAGACATCATGGAAGCACCCCCGGTCAAAGCATTGGCACCTCTTAGACTATGTAATCACATGTGCCAGAGACCGCCATGACGTGCTCCTCACAAGAGCCATGACAGGTGCTGACGACTGCTGGACTGACCACAGGCTAATTCCGATCCTCGATGGCTATCAAGATCGCTCCCAAGCGCAGACTCCAAGGAAGGAAGACAAGGCGCAAAATGAACACCCAAGCCCTTCAGGAGCCCTCCAGACGAGCCCATCTCCAAACAGCACTCAAGGACCATCTACCCACAGTACACCCCGAAAGTGTCGAGGAACATGTGGAACAAACTGAAGACCTCCATCATCCAAGTATGTTGAGGAACATTGGAACAAACTGAAGAGCTCCATCATCCAAGCCTGCGAAGAAACTATTGGATACCAAGCCAAGAAACATCAAGACTGGTTTGATGAAAATGACATCGAGATCCAACAGCTAATTGACAAGAAAAGGAAAGCCTTCCAAGCATGGCAGAGAGACATCAACTGTGCTGCTAAGAAAAAGATCTATGCCAGTGCAAAAGCTGAGGTCCAAAGAAGGACAAGAGAACTCAAGAACATCTGGTGGACAAAGAAGGCCGAAGAAATCCAACACCTGGCAGATACCCATAATGCTCAGGGATTTTTCAAAGCCACAAAGGTCATCTACGGACCAAGAAACCATGGCATACAGCCTCTACGCTCATCAGATGGAACCAAACTCCTGAAGGACCAAAACGCAATTGCACTACGTTGGAAAGAACACTACCAAAGCCTCCTGAACCGCAGCTCCAACGTGGCCGAAGAGGTCCTCTCACAAATCCCACAACAACAAACCAGGGATGAGCTTGCAGCACTGCCTAGTTTGGAAGAAGTCAGCAATGCCATCAGCCAACAGAAGAATAACAAAGCCAGTGGACCAGATGGGATCCCTGCTGAAATCTTTAAAGAGGGAGGACCTGAGCTGACACACCAACTCCACCAGCTCATAGAAAAAGTGTGGGTGACCGAGAAAATCCCAGCAGATTTCAAGGACGCCACCATCATCACCCTCTTCAAAAAAGGGGAAAGAACAGACTGCGGAAACTATCGAGGTATCTCCCTTCTAACCTCCGCTGGGAAAATCCTCGCAAGAATCCTTGCAAACCGCCTTCTGCCCCTCTCAGAAGACACCCTCCCAGAATCCCAGAAGGCTTCCGCCCCTCCAGAGGAACCGTGGACATGATCTTCACTGCACGACAGCTCCAAGAAAAATGCAGGGAACAAAACCAACCTCTGTACATGGCATTCATCGACCTTGCAAAGGCATTCGACACAGTGAATTGCAGCGCTCTCTGGACCATCCTCCACAAAATCGGGTGCCCAAACAAATTTGTGAACATCCTGCGGCTCCTCCATGATGACATGATGGCAACAGTCTTGGACAGCAGTGGCTCCCAAAGTGACCCATTTAAGGTGGAATCAGGTGTCAAACAGGGATGTGTTATTGCCCCAACTCTATTCTCCATCTTCATCGCTATGATACTTCACCTTGTTGATGGGAAGCTTCCCACCGGAGTGGAAATCATCTATCGGACAGATGGCAAGCTATTCAACCTCAGCAGACTGAAAGCCAAAACCAAGGTTACAACAACATCTGTTATAGAACTCCAGTATGCTGATGACAATGTCGTCTGTGCGCATTCAGAAGAAGATCTACAAGCCACTCTAAACACCTTCGCAGAAGCATACACGAAGCTTGGCCTGTTACTGAACATCGAGAAAACCAAGGTGCTCTTCCAGCAGTCGCCAGCCAATCCCTCTCCAATGCCAGTAATACAGCTTAATGGTGTCACATTAGAAAATGTGGACCATTTCCGCTACCTTGGCAGCCACCTCTCCACCAAAGTCAACATCGACGCCGAAATACAACACCGCCTGAGTTCTGCAAGTGCAGCATTTTCCAGAATGAAGCAGAGAGTGTTTGAGGACCGGGACATCCGTAGGGAGACCAAGGTGCTTGTCTATAAAGCTATTGTCCTCCCAACCCTGCTCTATGCCTGTGAGACGTGGACTGTCTACAGACGTCACATGCAACTCCTGGAACGATTCCATCAGCGCTGCCTCCGGAAAATCCTGCAAATCTCCTGGGAAGACAAGCGGACAAACGTCAGTGTGCTGGAAGAAGCAAAGACCACCAGCATTGAAGCGATGGTCCTCCAACAGCAACTCCGCTGGGCCGGCCACGTTGTCCGGATGCCTGACCACCGTCTCCCAAAGCAGTTGCTCTACTCCGAACTTAAGAACGGAAAACGAAACGTTGGTGGACAGGAAAAGAGATTTAAAGATGGGCTCAAAGCCAACCTTAAAAACTCTGGCATAGACTCTGAGAACTGGGAAGCCCTGGACTTTGAGCGCTCCAGCTGGAGGACAGCTGTGACCAGCAGTGCTGCAGAATTTGAGGAGGCACGAGTGGAGGGTGAAAGAGAGAAACGTGCCAGGAGGAAGGCGCGTCAAGCCAACCCCGACCGGGACCGCCTTCCACCTGGAAACCAATGCCCTCACTGCGGAAGAAGATGCAGAGCAAGAATAGGGCTCCACAGCCACATACGGACCCACAGAGAAATCCATAACGGAAGACCATCTTACTCGTCCAACGAGGGATCGCCTAAGTAAGTAAGTAAGTAATCTGGGAAAATAGTTATATAAAATAATGATAAAAAGCAGGGTTGGGGACAAGCAGAGTATAAGGACATTATGAGATAACTGTAACATTTTCGAGACCATGTCACAATCATCACTGGTTTCCATACGCCTTCATTATCACCATTCAAACACTGCAAAGAGACTTTGATCTCAGACTTTCAATTCCATCCATGCACCTGCCAGTCATTAGATATAATAAAAACAGATGTGCATAGATAAACTGGGCTGGTGGATGTGGATATTAAAAACACTGCAAATGGAAACAAGTTCTTACCTAGAACATCACTGTAATATGTATCCCATTCTTTGTAGAAAAAATGTTGGAACACGATGTCCATTGAAAGAGAAGTGAGCACGTTTGCCGTCCTCTCCAAGAAAGACATCCTATCCGTTAGCCCTAACATGCCAGTAGGCACATATGATGGTGGAGCTGGGATATTGCCACAACTACGTTCCATTGTGTGTCCTGGAGATAGCCGTAATGTATATAGAAATGGAACATGAAGTTTCTCAGCAAGGAGTTCCCCACCAGGCATGGCTCCGTCCGAAATAAGGACATCAAAAGCAGCTGACTCCAACTTTTGTAGCAACTTCTCGTTCCAAAAAACATTGTCACAGAAACTCTTGTATCCGTAGAATGTTTCCCTCATAAAGCCATACAACTTGATGAAAAATTGCCAGAAAGGTATTTCATGCTTCTCATAAGACCATAAATAGAGCATGTCCTGCATCAAAATATCCATGTCCTTTCTTGTGAATGGTACGGGGATCACTTCGAAGTGGAAGTTGGAAGGTACACTTGATTCAGATGCCTCGTAGGATGAAGGCATTATGACTGTTACTTGATGTCCCCTAGCTGTGAGCTCAAGAATCATAGATTTCATGTTCAGCCAGTGACTATAATCAAATGGCCAGGCCAGAACATTCCCACCGGAAGCTGAGCCCATGAGGAACATCATTATCAATGGTATATCCATCATCCATTTCAAAGACATTGTGCTCCTGCTTCTGTTCTGCTTGATTAGTGATATGGTAAGGCTGGGCTCTTCTGGGGCACTCTTGTATTTCAGAATAATTCAGAATGGTTATCCTTTGAGGCTCCTTAGCATGAATCTTATCAAGGAAACAATGAAATCTTGTGCCAGAGGAAGATCCCGTTTGGCCTTGTTCCCTCGTGAGCTGACCAGTGAAAATCCCGTCTTGCGTGTATCAGGAATGCACTGACTCCCAGGGAGTGGAGAAGAGAAGCCTTATTAGGAGAACAAGCTTCTCCTAAAACCATTCACATCAGAAGAACAGATAATTTATTTCCTTTTTCAGTTCTTGTAAATAAGAATGCAACAATAATATAGTAGGTCACTAGATGGTACCAGTCTATTCTGGCTACTTATTAGGGGACTAAGTTTTCCTGCAAGTTGTACCTGGGTTATCTATCTTTTTCCAAGATCACTCCCAGAGGCACAAGGCACCCCTTCAGCCAAGTCCTCCCCTGTTACAAGCAGTCGAGTTCTCACCACATTCTTCCTGTCCTTCTGCTACCCCGATATACTGTTGTGCTCAGTTTCCTGCCTTTTCAAACTCGGTTTCCCAGTTTACCAGCTCTACTCTCTCTTAAACACACCCTCTGAGCAACTACGCTGCTGATAATTAACTCTTTCTTTCCTCCTGTGCTCTTTCCATTTCCACTAGCTTCCTTGTCTAGTCTTTGTCTCCACCTTCCTCTAGTCCTGGACAGTTTGCACTGTAAGGGCAACTCTCTTGCAACAAGTTCAAACAATTAGCTAGCAATTAATTCCTTTTTTTAAAAAACAATTTTTTATTAAGTTTTATACGATTACAATGAAAGAGGGGGAATAATATAAGAGAATAGAAAAGTAGGAAAAAATAGAAAGAAAAGAGAAAAAAAATAAAAAATTCAAAAAAAAACAAAAAGATAAAAAAAAGGGATGTCGACTCCCTTCTGATTCAGCTCGCATAATAAGTTCTTTTACTATATCTATTTATATAAAAAAAAACCAAAAAAAAGGAAAATTCCTCAGTTCAAATAATAGTGTTCTATATTATTTTTATATAGTCTTCGACTGCTGACCAATTAGTCTCTTTAATTGGATTGCCTGTATTCTTTTTTAATAAAAATGTTAACTTGTCCATGTCCTTTATTTCATTTATCTTGTTAATCCAGTGGGATTTTTCTGGTACTTCTTTCTGTTTCCAAACTTTGGCATAAACAATTCTGGCTGCCGTTGTCAAATATGTGAACAAGATGTCTTCATTGGAGTCCAGTTCAATGTCTCCGTCAACAATTCCCAATAGATAATATTCAGCCTTTCTTGGAAATTTCTTTTTAAATAATTTCTGCATTTCTTCATGAATACTTTTCCAGTACTTTTGAGACTCTCTACAGCTCCACCATTGGTGAAAAAAGGTCCCATCATATTCGTTACACTTCCAACAGGCTTTCGATACATTTTCATACATACGATTCAAACTTACTGGTGTCAAGTACCACCTATGAAACATTTCCATCCAGTTTTCTTTTAAGTCCATTGCATAGGTGTACTTGAGTTTTTTCTTCCACATTAGTTCCCAATCGCACATTGCTATTGGTCTTTTAAAGTTTTCCGCCCATTTTACCATACAGCCTTTTATTAATTCGGTCTCAGTTGACCATTCTAATAGTTTTTCATATAATTTAGTTATACATTTCGTATCAGTTTTTAGAAAATTATCCCAGAAAACTTCTTTCACTTGGAAGCCTTGTTTTAAATCTTGCATATAGTGTTCCTTTATTTGCATATAATGTAACCATGTGATTTTAGGGAAACTCTGATTTATTTCCGCTTGAGATTTTAATGTCTCTGTGCCACTTTTTAAAAGTTCTTTATATGTAGGCCAGGTTGTCCAGCCCAGTAACCTTCGTTGTTTCGCTTCCATGGGAGAAACCCATAGAGGCGTTTTGGAGTAGAAATTTCTTTTATATTTATCCCAGATTCTAATTAGTGACAATCGAATAAAATGATTTCCAATTTTTTTTTCCTTCTGTTCTCTTCCATACCAAAGGTAGGCATGCCAGCCTACACGTAAGTCATGACCCTCTAATGTGAGGAGGTTCTCTCTTTTTAAAGCTATCCAGTCTTTTAACCAAATTAGGGCATTTGCATCATGGTATAGGTTAAAATTGGGTAGTCCAAACCCACCTCTTATTTTCTTATCAGTCAAAATTTGATATTTTATTCTTGGTTTTTTACCTTTCCAAACAAATTTCATCAGGTCCTTATTCCACTCCTTAAATTTCTTTAGATTTCTAATTATTGGGATGTTTTGGAAGAGGTATAATAGCTTCGGAAGGACTGACATTTTAATCAGTGAAATTCTTCCCAGAAGGGAAAGGTTTAGATATTTCCATTTCTCTAATTTTTTCTGAATCTCTTTCCAAAGTCTTTCGTAATTATTCGTAAGAAGTTGGGCATTTTTTGAAGTGATCCAGATGCCCAAATATTTCATCTTGTTAACCGTTGTGAGGCCCGAGATGTCCTTTAATTCTATCTGTTTTTCTTTTGACATATTCTTTGTTAAAATAACAGTCTTCTGTTTGTTTAGTTTAAAACCTGCCAGTTTCCCGAACTGTTCAATCGTATTTAGCCAGTTTTTAATGTTTTCTCGTGGATTTTCTATTATTCCTATTATGTCATCGGCATAGGCTCTGGCCTTAAATTCTTGTTTACCGATTTTTACCCCCTTGATGTTCTGATCATCCTTTAAATTTTTCAGCAGAATTTCTAATGCCATTATAAAGATCAAGGGTGAGATCGGACAACCTTGTCTAGAGCCTTTCCCGATCCCAAATTCTTCGGAAATTTGGCCATTTATTTGTACTTTTGCCTTTTGACTCTTATAAATCTCTTCAATTGCCGTAATGAACTGATGCCCCAAATCCATTTCTTTCATTAAAATTTTGAAAAAATCCCAATTGAGATTATCAAAGGCTTTTTCCGCATCAATCGCGAGGAAGGCCACTTCTCTTTGAGGGTTAGCTTCAAAATATTCAATCACATCGATAACTATTCTCAAGTTATCTTTCATATTTCTCTTTGGTAAAAAACCAACTTGTTCCTCCCCTATCCAAACATTTAAAAAAATTTTTAGTCTTTGGGCCAAAATGTTCGTAAAAATTTTATAATCCACATTTAATAATGAAATAGGCCGATAATTTCGTACGTCGGTGGGGTCTGTTTGTTCCTTATGAATTACTATTATTTCTGCTAAGTTCCATGTCTCTGGGATTCCCTGACCTTGGAGTATCCCGTTCATCACCGTTTTTAACATTGGCATAAGTTCCTTTATGAAGACTTTATAATAACCTGCGGAGAAGCCATCCGGTCCTGGCGCTTTATTTGCATCCATTTTCCTTATGGCCTCCTCCAATTCCTCTTCTGTAATATCTTTATTTAGGTCTTCTCTTTGGGCTTCAGTAATCTTAGGGATGTTAAATTTGCTTAAGTATTTTACAACCTCCTCTTTTGGAATTTGGTCACAAGAGTACAGTCTTTCATAATATGTTTTGAATTCCTTTAAAATCTCTTTATCCGTCGTTACCTCTTTATTCTCAGTCTTAATTTTGATTATTCTTTGTATCTGTTTCTTTTTACGGACTTGTTTGGACAACCATTTGCCTGCTTTATTTGCATTTTCAAACTGATATTGTTTCAAAAATTTTAGTTGCTTGGCTTGTTCCTCTATTTCTATACTGCGTCTTTTCTGGTGTAGTAATTCTATTTCTTTCATAAGTTTTTTATTACCTGGTTTAATCTTCAATTGGTTTTCTTTTGTTTTTAATTTATTTAAAACCTCCCTTTGGGATTTCTGTTTGATTCTATTATTTCTTGCGTTGTGTTGGATGAAATGACCTCTCATCACCGCTTTTGCGGCATCCCACATTATATTATGATGCACGTCTGGGGTATTATTTAATTCCATATATGTTTTAATAGTCTTTTTATAATTCTCCACGTCTTGTCCTTTTTTCATTAAATTCTCATTTAATCTCCATCTGCCTTTTACTTTTTTCTGATTGAGAATAATTTCCAGAGGCGCATGGTCTGAAATATCCCTTGGCAGGATAGTTATATCCGAAATTTTTGTGATAATATTGTTTGTGGCCCAACACATATCTATTCTCGACCACGATTGGTGTCTATGAGAATAGAATGTGTAGTCCTTCTTGCCCGGGTTCTTCCATCTCCATATGTCTTCCAGCTTCTGATCATCCTTTAATTCAATCATCTTTTTTGGTAAAGTATTTACCTTTCCTTTTGGGGCTTTTTTCATATTTTTGGTTTTGTCCAATTGACCATTAAGTATTCCATTAAAATCCCCTAGGAGTATCAAATCATCAAATTCTACTTCATCCAGTTTCCCCTTAAGATTTTCCACAAATTGGGTTTTTGGCCCGTTTGGGGCATAAATATTACAAATCAGAATCTTTTGATTACCAGATAATATTGTAGCTGCCACCATTCTTCCGTCTACATCTTTGAAGGATAAATCCAATTGCAATGATTCCTTAATATAAAGCGCTACCCCCCTCTTCTTTTTTCCAAAAGAGGAGTAGTGTAATTTGCCAATTTTCTTATTTTCTAAATGAGCTATGTGTCTATGCATGATATGTTGTTGTTGTTGTTCATTCGTTCAGTCGTCTCCGACTCTTCGTGACCTCATGGACCAGCCTACGCCAGAGCTCCCTGTCGGCCGTTACCACCCCCAGCTCCCTCAAGGTCAGTCCAGTCACTTCAAGGATGCCATCCATCCATCTTGCCCTTGGTCGGCCCCTCTTCCTTTTGCCTTCCACTTTCCCCAGCATCAAAACAATAGTAAGGTGGCCAAAGTACTTCATCTTTGCCTCTACTATCCTTCCCTCCAGTGAGCAGTCGGGCTTTATTTCCTGGAGGATGGACTGGTTGGATCTTCTCGCAGTCCAAGGCACAAGCCACAATGTCATACTTTTCCTTTTTTAATTTATTAAATAACTGTTTCCTTTTACTCGGAGAATTAAGACCATTCGAGTTTAAAGAAAGTATTTTTATTTGATGTTCAGTGGCCATGAGCAGTATCTTCTACATCCGGTCCGGGTTCATCTCTTTCTTCATCTGGATTAGAAGTTCCTTCGTCGTCCGTTCCTGTATTCTCGTAGTCTGGGGAGTTGAATCTTGCTCTTTTACTTCTTTTGCCCTTTCTGGGTGTGGTTGATGATGCTCCATTGGAGAATTTACGTTGTGGTTTTGGAGATTTATTACTTGGTTTCTCTGGGATTTGATCTTTCATTAGACTGTCATAGAAGTCCTTTGCTTTCTCAACCGAAGTCAGCCAATATTTCTGGTCATTAAAAGTCGTCATTATGCCTTCCGATCTCTCCCACCTAAATCTTATGTTTCTTCTCTTCAGTTCCTCAGTGAGGAAGAAGTATTGTCTACGTCTCATCAATGTTGATTGTGGGAATTCTTTTAACACCGCCACTTTCATTCCATTGAACTGCAGTGGAATTTTACTATTACTTTGCAGCACCTCATCCCTTGTCCGCTTCCTTACAAATTTAACGATAATA